GATGATACGAAAATCGGTAGGGAAATTAATTCGGAGGAGGACTCACTATCACTTCAAGTTGATCTAGATAGGGTTTTGAAATGGTCAAAGGATTGGCAGATGCAGTTTAATGCTGATAAATGTAAAGTTCTGAGGTTAGGTAATGATGATAGAGTTACAAGATACGAGCTAGATGGTGTTGTGATTGCGAAGTCGGATTGCGAAAGGGATCTGGGAGTTATGATTAGTAAGAATTTAAAACAAAAGGATCAATGCATAAATGTTCGTAATAAGGCAAATCGGACACTTGGATTTATTAATCGCAGCGTTAGTAACAAGACACCTGGTGTGGTTCTCAAGCTATATCTTGCTCTAGTTAGGCCCCATTTAGATTATGCAGTTCAGTTTTGGTCGCCATATTATAGAATGGATATAAATTCACTTGAACGTGTCCAGCGTAGGATGACTAAGTTAATTCCCCAAATTAGAAATCTTTCATATGAAGAAAGATTAACAAAGCTTAAGTTGCATTCACTGGAAAGGCGAAGAGTTAGGGGTGACATGATAGAGGTTTACAAGTGGATGAATGGACATAACCGGGGGGATATTAATAGGGTATTAAAAGTATCAACACAGGACAGAACACGAAACAATGGATATAAATTGGATAAGTTTAGATTTAGGAAAGACTTGGGTAAATACTGGTTCAGTAACAGGGTTGTTGATTTGTGGAACCAATTGCCGCGTAACATTGTGGAGGTGGGGTCCCTCGATTGTTTCAAGCACGGGTTGGACAAGTATATGAGTGGGATTGGGTGGTTATAGAATAGGAGCTGCCTCGTATGGGCCAATAGGCCTTCTGCAGTTACCTTTGTTCTTATGTTCTTATGTTCTTAGCCCTTAAGAAGAAGGATGGTGGAGTCAGACCCATTGCCGTGGGTAACACACTTCGGCGCCTTGTTGCTAGGGCAGCTGTCAGAAAAAATTAGCATAGACGCTGCAACGATGCTTCGAACCCCGATCAACTAGGTTTTGGTGTCCCCCATGGCTGTGAAGCAGCAGCTCATGCAGCATGAGCCTATATCAAGCACCTCCCAGAAAATAAGGCATTAATTAAATTAGACTTTAAAAATGCCTTCAACCAGGTAAAAAGGGATGTGGTACTGGAAGCAGTTCGAACAAGCTTTCCCTTCTCTACTCCCCTTCGTCTCAGCAGGGTACAGTAGGGAATCGACGCTGCTGTTTGGGGAACATGAAGTTGTTTCTGCAGAAGGTGTCCAGCAGGGAGACCCACTTGCCCCTTTTCTTTTTGCATGGCTGTTAAAGAGGTCACAAGCAGGTTGACCAGAGAAATCAAACATCTGGTTCCTGGACGATGGCACCCTGGCAGGGACACAGGAGTCCGCTGCTAGAAGATCTACAGCTGGTGAAATCTAAGAGAGAGGAATTAGGACTCACCCTAAACCCATTAAAGTGTGAAATCATCTCATCTAGCCAACCAACCATAGATGCAGTGCGAATCATATTGCCAGGAGCCCAAGTGATCGCTCCCACCGACAGTGTGCTGCTAGGGGCACCTCTGGGCTCGAGCGCCATTGAGGTAGTTCTCGAAGAAAAGCTGAACGATCTGAGGAGGATGGAGGGAAGAATATGGCTTTGGATGCCCACAATGATTTGTACCTTATCACAAGGTGCCTGGCTTTGCCCAGACTGACCTATTTCCTAAGGTGTGCTCCCTCCTTCGACAGCCCAAAATTAACAGAATATGACACACTCCTAAGGTCAATAACCGTGAAAGTGTTAAACCTCTCTCTCCCTGCAAGATGACCAATGGGACCAAGCAACGCTCCCAGTTAAACTCGGGGGTATAGGTTATCTCGCAAGGTGACACAGTTAGCATTGCCGTCATTCTTATCCTCGACCAGTGCAACAAGTGAATTAGTTAAGGAAATACTACCGGAATACCTAAGAGACTCCATTGAGATTCATGATCCCAAATTCGCAGAAAGGAGCTGGTCAGTGGGACACTCTTGTCAACTCTCATCCTCGACCGACTTTTCCAAATGACTGCACACCGTCCAAATGGGATAGCCCCATAGTGGAAAAAACATCGGCACATCATTGCTAGAGGCAGCTTCCAGGAAGGACACAGCGCCGTCTTCTAACTGTGCAAGCGCCCCATGCCGGGGACTTCCTGTTGGCAGTCCCTAATTCCGCCTTGGGCACCCGCCTGGACCATCGGACCCTAAGTATTGGTGTTGACCTGCGCCTTGCCGCCCCTATCTCCACCGAGCCCAGCAGTGTATTTGCAGCCATGCACGGGCAGACCAATATGGCAGCCATGGTCTCATCTGTCGTAAGACACAGGGAAAGATTGCCAGACATGAAGCAGTCAATGACATCATCATGAGAAGTTTGGCTTCAGCTGGGTGCCCAGCACAAAGGGAACCTCAGTTGTGCAGGCCTGACAACAGCCAAAAACGCCCAGATGGAGTCACCCTGCAGCCGTGAAGGGAAGGTAAACAGATCGTGTGGGACTACACGTGTGCATCTACATTGGCTGATACCTATCTACCTTACAGCACAGCTGAGGGAGGCGGGGCGGCCACCTTCAGGGAGAATCCAGAAAACTAACAAGTACAGGGACCTAGAACCTTGTTACAGGTTCGTGCCGATAGGCTCTGAGACTCTGGGCGCCTGGGGTAAATCTGCACTTAAGTTCCTGAAGGAGCTGGGCGAGGAACTCATTGGGAAGACTAGAGTCCCAAGAGCGGCCAGTTTCATGTTCCAGCGCCTCAGTGTCGCTGTTCAGAGGGGAAATGCGTGCTGTATCTTGAGTATGCACCCGACCCCCGAAGAGCTGGACGAGGTCTTCGAACGCTGATTGGTATATTGTTATATAAGTGTGTGTTTTCTGTAAACTGTAGCATTGCAATTAAAAAAAACAATAATAATAGGGGTGGTAGGAGAGGAAAATATCAAAGTATTCAGGGAGAATCCACAAGGTCTTCTCTGAATACTCTTTATTTTCTCTTCTTCGAGGCTAGGGGGTCTCTTCAAGAGACCCATAGCTCGTACCATTGTAGAGAGCAATAGGTATCTATATATATATATATATATATATATAATATATTATATATATATTATTAGATATATATATATATATGTATATATATATATATATATATATATATATATATATATATTATATATATATATATATATATTATATATATATATATATATATATATATGTCGTACCTAATAGCCAGAACGCACTTCTCAGCCTACTATTCAAGGCCCGATTTGCCTAATAAGCCAAGTTTTCCTGAATTAATATATTTACTATAATTTTTTTTCTTATGAAATGATAAAGCAACCCTTTTCTCTATGTATGAGGTCAATTTTTTTTTATTGGAGTTAAAATTAACGTAGATATATGACCGAACCTAACCAACCCTACCTAACCTAACCTAACCTATATTTATAGGTAAGGTTAGGTTAGGTAGCCAAAAAAAGCTAGGTTAGGTTAGGTTAGGTAGGTTAGGTAGACGAAAAAACATTAATTCATGAAAACTTGGCTTATTAGGCAAATCGGGCCTTGAATAGTAGGCTGAGAAGTGCGTTCTGGCTATTAGGTACGACATATATATATATATATATATATATATATATATATATATATATAATATATATATATATAATAGACTTATATATATATATATATGTCGTACCTAGTAGCCAGAACGCACTTCTCAGCCTACTATTCAAGGCCCGATTTGCCTAATAAGCCAAGTTTTCATGAATTAATGTTTTTTCGACTACCTAACCTACCTAACCTAACCTAACCTACCTTTTTCGGCTACCTAACCTAACCTAACCTATAAAGATAGGTTAGGTTAGGTTAGGTAGGGTTGGTTAGGTTCGGTCATATATATATATATATATATATATATATATATATATATATATATATATATATATATATAAACTTTAGAACACTTTCCCACCAGGAGACTCGAACCCTAGCCAGCACAGAAGCCTTCCAGCAACTGGCATAACAGGTACGCCTTAACCCGCTCCACCACCAGCTCAGACCCTTAAAAGAGATGGTAATTTCGGAGTATTTAAATACACCAAAGATCACCCCCTCCCAAGAGCACTAGAGCAAGTGAGGGGTCATTTATACGTTTATTTCATCAAGTCCCTGTTAATATGGGAAGACACAGTGTCTATGCTTAAGCCTTAAGCATAGACACTGTGTCTTCCCATATTAACAGGGACTTGATGAAATAAACGTATAAATGACCCCTCACTTGCTCTAGTGCTCTTGGGAGGTGGTGATCTTTGGTGTATTTAAATACTCCGAAATTACCATCTCTTTTAAGGGTCTGAGCTGGTGGTGGAGCGGGTTAAGGCGTACCTGTTATGCCAGTTGCTGGAAGGCTTCTGTGCTGGCTAGGGTTCGAGTCTCCTGGTGGGAAAGTGTTCTAAAGTTGTATACTTCACTCTCGTGTTTAGGAGAGTTGTGCCTTATATATATATATATATATATATATATATATATATATATATATATATATATATAAATTAACGTAGATATATGACCGAACCTAACCAACCCTACCTAACCTAACCTAACCTATCTCTATAGGTTAGGTTAGGTTAGGTAGCCGAAAAAGTTAGGTTAGGTTAGGTAGCTCCATAAAAAAAATTAGGTCAGGTTAGAGAAAAGGGTTGCTTTATCATTTCGAAAAACAATTAATTCAGGAAAACTTGGCTTATTAGGCAAATCGGGCCTTGAATAGTAGGCTGAGAAGTGAGTTCTGGCTACTAGGTACGACATATATATATATATATATATCATATATATATATATATATATATATATATATATATATATAATATATATATATATATATATCTATATATATATATTGTGCTATACGATAACTCACAAAGATCACTGCACATTTATGACAGTGATACACGATAAGTATTGTTGGTATATGGTGTTGCAGGGCTGACAACTGATTACTGGGTCGGTGGCCGTTTCGACTTGGATACCAACGCTTGGTCGTGGACCGTGGACGAATCTGTCATGCCTTTAGGGACTCCCTACTGGGCTGTAAGGTTAGTGCTCCAAAGGTCTCCCTACTGGGCTTTGAGGTTAGTGCTTCAAAGGTCTCCCTACTGATCTGTGAAGTTAGTGCCCATAAGGTCTCTCTACAGCGCTGTGAGATTAGTACTTGTACTGTATTCCAGTACCTGGCTCTGGAGAGTTTGTCGTTTGTCAATACCTGTTTGAAGAGTGTCGTGTGCCTGTTCCTGGTTGCTGAGTTTGTCGTGTGCCAGTGCCTGCTTGGAGAGTTTCGTGTGCCAGTACCTGTTTTGAGAGTGTCGTGCGCCATTATATGTTATGTGAGTGTTTATCGAGTGTCAGTACCTGTTTGGAGAGGGATTAACCGTGGTATATACTTGTGTTTCTGTTGCAGGCACAGCAGCTCGTGTGTGCCGCGCCCCCCGCCCCACACTGACCCCTTCAGCAGTCCCTCCGCTGCCCTACCAGACGCCCCATGCTTCTCCTACACCCAGGCGCCCGCCAATCGTCAGGAGGGATGGTAATGACACTCAATTTTTTTATATGTTCAATTGTGAAGACATTAGGCATGGGAAGCTTGTGTACCCTAAGGTTGGTTTAACCAGTCTATAATACAGTGTGCTCCCATGCGAGGGGCTCTGCGGAACAATGGGGTTTATGTAAACGATAAAATTTTATTTAACATAACCTATTACGAAGCTTATTTTGTTGGTTAAACGATGAAGCATTTATAAAATGTTGCTTGGCTAGATATTCGTGTGATAGTTAATATTTAGAGTTTTACTTGGTAGGAGAAATGTTGTTGAGGTGGAGGAATTGTTGTAGCAGTAAGGAATTGTTGTAGCGGTAAGGAATTGTTGTAGCAGTAAGGAATTGTTGTAGTGGTAAGGAATTGTTGTAGCAGTAAGGAATTGTTGTAGTGGTAAGGAATTGTTGTAGCGGTAAGGAATTGTTGTAGCAGTAAGGAATTGTTGTAGCGGTAAGGAATTGTTGTAGCGGTAAGGAATTGTTGTAGCAGTAAGGAATTGTTGTAGCGGTAAGGAATTGTTGTAGCGGTAAGGAATTGTTGTAGCGGTAAGGAATTCAGTTGTGAGTAATGACTGTTGCGGCGCTCTCGTTCCTGCTGCTTCTTTTGTTTCTGTCGTAGCGTTTAATATTTGCAGTTTAACATTACAGTACACAAGAACAGTGTTAAGTTATTACTATACTGTTTGTTATGGAAGTGTGATTTAATATTTACATTAAATTAGGAGACAATTACAATTAAAGTTATTATATTGAAACGAATTATTGTCAACTTTCTTATAAAACAATAATATAAAATTTACTTTTTAGTTAATAATTTTATAAAAAAATTATATTCACATAAAATCTTGGAAAATATGCTCACAATAACCAGTTAGAAAGCTGTAAAGTGAACTTATTTGTAATTTGTTATTAACATTAATTAGCAAATAGAAATTGGCAATAAATATCCATGAAATATTTTATTCAAAAAGTGTGAGTTAATTTTTATTTATTAGATCTACTGCTTTACGCACCTATTTTGGAATTTCTGCTGATGGACCTAATGTGTGCTCAACCTGGCCTCTCAACCTGGACGACGTA